CTCCTTGATGTAGTGATAAACCCAGGAAGTAAAGCCATACTTTGACTTGGCCATGTCGATCATGGTTGGTAAAAATATATTTAAATTTTTTCATTTTTTTCAAATTTGTTTGTTCAAAATGTTGCTCACGTATTTTGCTTTAAGACTTGCTTTGTATTCACCCTCAAAATTAATGCTCAAATGTAGATTTTTTCAGAAGTTTATGTTTTTCTCTGCATTGCATTCTGGGTAGCGTCACTACTTCACCCAATAGTTAAAAGTTCCTTGATTTTTTCAGGTTTTGGTGCTATGACAATAAATCATGTAAATGGTACGAGCAAATCTCTAGTAAGATGTACAGTACTCTTTCCACTCAATTAATTAATTACCTGAATATACTGTGTAAATATTTATGTTTTTAACTAGTTTTTGTTGAAAGTTGATACTGAAACTACTACTTTTGAGTTAGTATATATTACTACACCCAAAAATAATTTTTTTGAGTGTAGGAAATGTCCATCGAAACCTCGTGATTGCAGGTTATTCTACACGAGCGTTTACCTGCGGCCTTCTCGAACGCTCCGTGGATGCCCCCCTCCTCTCCTCTGTCGAGGGGCAGAAGCTGTGAGGCTGTTTCACACTGAATGCGGCACTCCTCCGTCTGACGCAGAGTTTCGCTCACACACTCTCCCCACTTCTCCACAGTCGCCGCCCAGTCCGCAGAGGCCTCCAGCTGCAGCGCCGAGTCATACAAGACCTGAGGGATAACCAGTGATCAGAGACAATACAGGAGAATATAAAACAGTGTGAGCATGTTCGTTTGAAGCTTTGTCTTTTACACACTCAGCGGAGATAGGCGTGACTACATTCGTTAATATTTACAGTCTATGAGTGAAGCCAACGGAAAACATTCTATCATGAAAAATAGTAATTTACTTGCGCAATTCTTAATTATTTGTTTACTTTGTTTGTGTCTTAAATCACATTCTACAACCGTTCCTTATGTTGGATTTTGAGTATACAGCAGTTACTAAAGTATAGTTGTAATAGTGGTTTATTATTGAAAAAACATGATTAGTTGCCTTTGATCATTTTAGCTCTAACACTTCATACATGTTAACGGTTTGTTTCTCACCCAGTGTTTTTCGTGACCAGCTTCTCTGTCCTGAAAGTCATCTGCAGTCACTCCATCCATCCGTCTGTATTTTTCTATGTTGTTCCTCATTTCCAAATGACTGGGATTAGCAACAAAGTAGGTGTGAGCTGCTGATGCTGCCTTCTGGAGCTTTTCCAGCTGAGAAGAAAAAAGGTTTACGAGTGCCACCCAAAATGCAGACGTGTCAAAAATCAGCAATTTTTAAAAAATCATTTTAGCCCTAATATATCTCTGAGGAATGGGTGCATTGACAAGAAGTAAATCAGAATGAAAAAAAAAATAATTAAATATTTAGCAATGCCTGAATAATATGGGTTGTATCTTTCTTTCTTTTGATTTCACTAATTTGTTGTTTAACTGTATTTTAATGTATAAACTTGCTACATAGTACATGGCTAGAGTAATCCAAGTGTAATGTTAATTAAGTTACCTTTTTGAGGCAGTAACTATTACATTGTATAGAGAGTAACTACTTTGTATTCAATCAGAGAGCTGACAGGCACAATACTGATGGATTGCTATGATGTGATCTTCCAAAACATCTAATTGTTTTTTATCTTAGTATATGTTTAATCACACTATCCTCATCAGCATCAAACTCTATCGTTTAGCACCTTACTTACTTTGTAGTACGTGACTTGGAGAAAGTTGTAGGGATTACGATAGGAAAACTCATATTCGATGTCAGAGGAGACCGGCTGCAGAGCAGCAGAAGAAACAGAGTTCCCCAAACAAAACTTCATACACTCGGCTTTCTGCTGCACCCAGTCCAGCGCCCACAGATCCCATAAGTTTCCTTGTGCACCATCTGGCAAAACAAGAGAATAAGTTAGTATTAGTGTCTAAGAGTAGCTATTTATGCAAAAATATCTCCAAAAATGCAATTGTTCTGTCCCCACCATACTATCGAAACATACCAAAGAATTGGCAATAACCTTTTTACATACAGCCTTGTTACACACTTATACTTGGGTATATTTAGCATGTGGGGCTTTAAATAAGATTAGTGCAAATGCTACATCGAGGGATCTGATTTATTTGTAAATTATATGATATTTACTATAATATGCAGTTTATTTTGTGTACAGTTATTCTTCAAAATGTCCTGTATGTCTTAATGCTACATTTTACATTGAATCATGGGATGTGATTTATTTAAATTAGAACATTAGAACACATACTTTGCACAGTAGTTTGGTAACAACGTTGTGTTATTGCATGGATATCTGGCCCACTTTGTACAATTATAGTAGTTGTGCAGTGTCCATCCTCATTGAGCAAATTGTTTTCCCCAATACCCATCTTCAAGGTATTTATTATGTCTATTATAGGTACTGCTTCTAAATGAAAGGCTTACCCAGGTTGTGAAAAGCATTTGCCCCCGCAGTCTCACACTCCTCATAGCACTGTCTGCGAACTTTAAACAGTAAATCTTTGGTGAGAAGGGATTTCTCCAGGTGCTCTGCCGCTTTCACCCACTCGCCTTCAAAATACGCACGCACTCCGCTGTAGTAAAAGAAGTCATACGGCTGCAAGTGCGAGCCTAGAAGACCGGAGAGTCCACTGCCCGCATGGATGATCGCTACCGAGTCAAATAAAACAAAAAGAAAGATTTGATGCGCCACGTATGCAGGGAAGTGTAGGGACCGCTGCGCCATGGCCAGATGCAGAAGACCTCGGTGCAAAGAGAAGGAGGGACTTGAGAACTTCGCACATTTTGGTCCACAAGTTTCCTCCCATTTGAGTATGCCTGGGGAGGATAAAAAAGATCAAATCAACACAAAAACCCAACCAACTAGATCAAACGTGAAATAGTAATGCTTTTGGATACTATTACTTAAATAACTACTACTAATACTATTACTATAAAATAAATACTTCTGAAAAATAAATGGGGCTTTTTTTTCCATCTGCGGAGTAGGGTTTGAAGTTGCAGTGGCCGCGTGTGACAGGGTGAGGGCGCTGTCGGCGCTTTGTTTTGACCGTAACACTTGGTCAAATTCGCACCTAAAACACGTACTTTACACCCATAAACTGTACACCACATATCACCGTATAAAGTACATCAATGGCATGTTTTCTCTTATTTATTCAAGTCTGTATAAAAATAAGATCACTTTTATTCGGTTTAAAAATAAGATAAACCTCTAAATAATATTAGAAAATATACTCAGCTGAAGTATGGAAAATAGTTAACGTTCATATAAGTAGGCGGCCTAAATAAAAAGAGCACCGTGCAGATATTTGCAGACCAGTACTTTTATCAGTATCTTGTAAACGTGAAAAATTTACATAATTATGGATGAATTATGAACGTTTACAAGTGACTTTATTTTCTATTTTAATCTTAAGTTAGTACATTACGGTAAAGAACAGCTGGCTGTCTGCGCATGCTCCGTGCACTCGGCGGCCTTCAGCATCTCATGATTCATTCACCAAACACGGAGCAGCAGAACTGAGAAAGGAGCCGTAAACTCAACAGAACAACTGTACCGTGCAAGGAGCAGCAGACGGACTGGACATGGCTGATGTGGGCGATGTGTTGATGTCGGTACTGTCCTCTATCCGGGTCCCGAAGTCTGGAGACCGAGTCCACAAAGACGAATGCGCCTTGTCATTTGCCTCACCGGTGAGACATCCTTTGTAAATGTACACAGTGTCTGCCCCCGTGTGCCTATGATCATTTCTGACCACAATGTTCACATTCAGAGCCAGTGAGACCATCTGATCACCCTCCTGGTTCAGTTTCTCTTCTGAATGACTTGCATGCTAGCGTTATGCTAAGCTAATAATGCTCCGTAGTTTTCGAGTGTTGTAGCCAAGAGTTAGCCACATTAGCTTTAAATGTTGTACTGTCAAACTAGAGACAGTTCTATCACGCTGTTCGGTTTAGTTTGTGATTAAAGCCGTGTGTTAAATGGATTCCATGTATTGCTTAGCTTTAAAATGATGGTAAACAATCACTTGGCATATAATTAAATCTCTTTTTGTCATTTTCAGGAAAATGAAGGGGGCTTGTTTGTTTGTATGAACACCTTCTTAGGCTTTGGCAGTCAGTATGTGGACAGACACTATGCACGAACTGGACAGAGAGCTTACCTGCACATAACCAGGACCCGCAAGCCCAAGGTTTGAATCTATTTCTGTGTTAATGTCTGAATAATATGGACAATGAATGACTCAAAATGTTATTTATTTTTATATTTGCACAGAGCGAAGATGACAGTAACTCTGCTGCTGGACATCCACCAAAGAAAAAGCCCACCAGACTAGCCATTGGTAAATATTTCCCCCTTTCCCAGCGCTCAGACAAAAGGGCAAATATGTGCAATGTCAATACAGCTATTCGATGACTGATCAAATGATGTTGATATATTGGTTTACTGAAGTAAAATCAATAAAAAGTCCTTCGTTTAATGCTCATTCATTTTTGAATGCTCAAAGTGAATGGGTCAGTCTGAACAGAATATTGATACAATTGGAGCCTTTTTATGGGGTGGATTAGAATTGCAACAGTCTAGATGGGAAGTGACAAGACTGAACAAGCACTGGACTGGCAAAGGGACATTGTCAATGTGACATGTGAAGGAAAGCGCCCTATCATGGATGACACCCAGACGCTTTGCCAGAGGAGCAAGACAGATGTAGGGGCCATCAATGGAAATATAGAAGTTATTGATCTTGTGCCAGGTGGTTGTTTATGTATAATTAATTCCAGTATCTGTTTTGTACCTTTTATTTATTTTAAGTTTCACAAAAGAGCTGTTCTTTTGGGCTCAAGATCAGATTTGTATCAAGAATATCACGAGCTATTAAACGCTTTCTTTTTTATGCCAAACACTTTTTGTACTGGCTATGACATGTTAAAAAGGCATTTCCATTTTTTTCTCCTATCCAGGGATTGAAGGGGGATTTGACGTTGACCAAGACCAATATGAAGAGGACATAAAAGTGGTGATCTTACCCGACCGACAAGAAGTAACGTCCGATGACCTTACAACTATGTCTGAGGTTGTGAAGGAACGAGTGAGTATTTTAATTTTTAATTATTAATTAATGATTTATATTTTTGCTTTTTAGACTGGCGTATCTCTATTAAATGTGGCCATAATAGGACACTTTTAAAATTCACATTCTGACTCTGATTTTCTAGTTTTCTTCTTTCAGGTCTCTCGGTCAATGGCTGGCATCATGGCGGCCGACTCTGTGTCTCATGCGTTACAAGTACAGCAGTGGGATGGAGAAGTCAGACAAGAGTCAAAACATGTGGAAGGGAGGCAGGGGGAGGAGTAGATGAGGAGGAGGAGACGTAGAAGTTGAGTGGGAGAGGGGGAAGATGTGGAGAGAGAGAGAGTATGATGAGGGAGAGAGAAGATGAGAGAGACGGATAGTAGGAGTGAGTCAGCGGGAGAGGAGATAGAGGAGGATGGAAGTTGGAGAGACGGAGGAGAGGTACTAGTGGCGAGGCGGGGTAAGGAGTCGCGGAGGGAGAGAGTGAGGGAGGGGAGAGAGAGAGAGAGGGGAGTGAGGTGAGGAGAGAGGAGAGACGGAGGGGAGTGGAGAGTGCGGATGTGAGGGAGATATAGGGGGAGGAGAGACGGAGGAGAGGAGAAGAGGGGGAGGGAACGGAGAAGAGAGATGGAGAGGGTCAGGGGGGAGGGGAGAGTGGGAGAGGAGAGAGAGGGAGGTAGGAAGGAGGGAGAGCGGGGAGGATGGGGAAGAGAGCAGAGGAGAGAGAGACGATAGAGGTGAGAGGAGAGAGTAGAGGGGGGAGAGAGAGAGGGAGGAAAGTGGGACGGAGAGAGGGAAGTGGGGAGAGAGTGTGGGGAGGAGGCCAGAGATAGGGAGAGAGGAGAGAGCAGGACGTGGGATAGAGAGAGAGAGAGTTTGAAGAAGGAGTGGAAGAGGAGATGACTGCGGGGAGCTGGAGAGAGGATGTGAGAGAGGAGAGATGAATGGAGGAGTAGTTTGGGATGAGAGAGAGGACAGTAGGGAGAGGAGAGAGAGGAGAGAGAGGAGTAGGGGAGAGAGGAGCGCGAGGAACGAGATGAGGTGGAGTTGTGGAGCTGATGGAGAGAGGAGAGAAGTGAAAAGGTTGGGGGAGAAAGTGGGGGGAGAGTCGAAGAGTAAAGTAGTCGGAGGGAGAGAGAAGGGAGGAGAGAGATGAGGAGAGCCTGCGAGCGGAGAGCGGACGGAGACGAGGGGAGAGAGAGGAGAGGAGAGGAGAGGAAAGAGTAGGAGTAAGGTAGGAGATGAGATTAAGTGGGAGAGATAAGTCGTGAGAAATAGAGAGGAGAGAGGGCCGAGAGAGAAAGTTTGGTGAGAACGAGGAGATCGAGAGGAGAGCAGAGGGAGGAGAGACAGGCGACGGGAGGAGGCTATGTGAGGAGAGGAGAGGGTGGAGAGATGAGTAGGAGTGAAAGAGGAGAGAGAGGATGGAGAGAGAGGAGCTGCCTATGAAGAGATCGAGAGAGAGAGGTTGAGGTGAGAGATGAAGGAGCAGATGGAGAGGAGACGAGATTGGAGGAGATGGTAAGGAAGAAGAGTGGGGAGGATGGAGCTGAGGGGGAGGGAGGAGGAGGAGAAGAAGGGATATGATGTTAGTGGGAGGGAGGGTGGAGAGGGAGGAGGAGCGAGGAGGAGAGAGACTGAGAGAGAGTACTGGTTGTGAGGAGAGGAGGGGGGTGGAGAAGAGTGAATGAAGAGGAAAGGAGTGGTGGGGATGAGGATTGAGAGGAGTGAGGGGAGAGGAGGGAGTGAGAGGAGAGGGAGAGGGACGAGGAGAGAGGGAGGAGGGGGACGGAAGAGAGAGGAGGAGATGAAGAGGTGGGGATACGAGAGAGCGAGAGAGACGATGCAGGGGAGACGAGAGGGGAGGAGGGAGAAGGGGAGAGGGGAGGGAGGGAAAGGGAGGGGAGGAAGACAGACAGAGAGAGTAGAGAGTGAGGGAGCAAGAGAAAAAAGATGTGAGGAAAAGAGAGAAGAAAGAGAAGGAGAAGAGAGTGGAAAGAAAAAAAGAGAGACATGAGAAGAGAGACAGGAAGAGAGAGAGGAGAGAAAAACGAGAAGGAGGCGGGCAGCAAGAGAGGAGGGAGAGGGAGAGAGGAAAAGAGAGGAGGAGAGCAAGAGAGAGAAGAGACAGAGACGGAGACCAGAGAGAGCGAGAGGTGAGAGAAAGAGAGGGGAAGAGAGAGCGGAGGAGAGAGGGGGGGATGGGTGAGAGAGGAGAGGGCGGCAGTGGGAGGGGACAAAGATAAGAAAGATGAATAAGAGAGACAAAAGGAGACAAAAAAAAAGGGAAAAGAAAGAGGAAATAAGAAAGAAAAGAAAGGAAAACTAGAAAAAGAGAAGAAAAAAAGAAGGAGAGAGAGAGAAAAAAAGGGAGGGAAAAAAAAAAGAAGAAAGAGAGACAAAAAGAACAAAGAGGAAAAGAAAAGAGAATAGTAAGAGAGTCAAAAGAAAAAAAAGAAGAAAAGAACAAAAGAGAGAAGAAAACAAAAAAGGAAAAGGAAAAAGAGAAAAAGAGAGACAAAGGTGAAAGGGGAGGAGAAGGGGAGGGAAGAGATAAAGATATAAAGAGGGGTGGAGGCGGGCGATGAGAGACGAAAGAATAGGGAAAGGAAGGGAGAAAGAGGGAAAAGAAAGAGTCAGAAATGAGGTGGAAGAGGCAGCCAGGATATAGAGAGTGGGAGAGGTGAATAGGCTAAGCAGAAAGGAGATATGAGAAGGACAGATGATAGAGGAGGAGAGGAGAGACAGAACAGGAAGACAGAAGACAGATATAGAGAGATGAGAGGATGAGGGAGAGGGAGAGGGGGGAGGAGAGAGAGAGTGAGAGCGCTAGAGAGGGCGAGAGGTTGAGGTGAGAGAGATTTAGAGGGGAAGAGGGACGGAGGATGGAGAAGAGAGAGAACGAGAGGCAGGATGTCGGTGGAGAGGGAGAGGGAGGGGGGAGAGAGAGGAAGAGTGGTAGTGGAGGGAGCGAAGAGAGGGATAAGAGTTGGGGGGGTGCAGAAGAGCGATGCACAGAGTGGCAGAGAGTGGGTGATAGGAGCCAGGAGAACTAAGATGCTAGAGATGAGTGTAGGGAGAGGAGAAGAGAGAGAATTGCGTGAGGAGATGGTAGAGTCATCGGGAAAGTGGGAGAGAGAAGAGAGTGAGAAGAGAGATAAGTGAGTGGAAGGGGAGAGAGTAGGGAGAGTGGGTGCCGTAAGGCGTGTGGATGGGAGTAGGGGGAGAGAGGATGAGGAGGAGAAGAGTGGGAATAAGTGATATTAGAGTAACGCAGTACGGGGGGGGGGTATAGAAGTTGTAGTGGAGGAGTATTGGAGAGTGGAGCGAGGATTAAGAAGTGGGACCTGAAGAGTGGCGGGATAGACGGCTGTGGATGTGTGGGGTAAAGTTAAAGGTGGTGATAGGAGTGGGGCGGGACAGTGGGAGGAGGAGGAGAGAGTGGGAGGGAGCGATGAGTGAGTGAGTGAAGTTTTGAAGAGAGAGACGAGTGGGAGAGTAGTTAGAGATGAGAGAAGTTGGAGGGGAGAGAGAGAGAGGAGTGAGAGTGGGAGAGAGGGAGAGGGTAGTGGGAGAGACGAGAAGAGTGAGAGACGGGGAGTGGAGTGGGAGGAGTAGTGGGGGAGGGGATGAGGAGAGAATTGAGGGAGATAGCGTAGTAACTAGTGGGAGAGAAGGAAAGTTGAAGGGCGGAGTGGGGAGGAGTTAGCTAGAGAAGAGAGAGAGACAGGGGAGTCGGGAGAGAAGAGTAGAAGAGAGAGAGTAGAGCTGCAGACGTTTGTGGTAGTGGGGGGAGAGAGAGAGATGGAGATGTGTTTGGACGTGGGAGGGTGGGGAAGCCGTAAACCTGTGTGGGGAGAGGGAGAGAGAGCGAGTGGAGGAGAGGAGAGGGAAGGAAAGGGAGGGAGATGAGACAGACAAAGAGGGGGGGGATGGACGAGCAGGGGGGGAGGGAGACAGAAAAAGACGAAGAGAGTGTTGGAGAGCGGAGAGAAGATAGAAGGAAAGAAAGAGGGAGGAGAGGCTATCACAGACAAATATATATAGAGAGGAAGATAGGAGAGACACCGAGACAGCTGAGGGAGAGTGGGAGAATGAGAGAGAGGAAAGAGAAGAAAAGAGTGAGGAGACACACACACAAACAAAAAGAGGGAGATGAGAGTGTGAGAGAGAAGGAGGAGAGAGACCACTTGCAGAGGCAGCAGAGGAAAGGTGTGCAACATGAATTGAAACACAGGATAGTGTTTTTTAGTTTTTCTTTTTATCTTATTATTTGTTGTGTCTGTCGGTATCACGAGGTTATGAGTCCACTTTTTCATTAAAATACATGTTATTATCATTAACTGGATCTGTTTTTATCCTGTTACATTAAAGCTGGGTTTGGTTCATCTTTGCAACCACATCAAATAATATTCATCCTTGTTTTCCAGATGTTCATTTTTCCTCTTCTTCCACGTTTTTCCGAGATTTTATGTTTTTATAATGTGATGGTATTTTTAGGGTATTTGTATTTTTTTTGGTTTTCAGGAGTCCCTCCCCTCTCCCTTTCACGACTCTTTTAATTCTTCTTACGCCCTTCCCCCCTCCACACCTTTTTTTTTCCCCCCTTTTTTATCCCCCCTATTGACCCATCTACCTCCCTTCCACCCTCTTTTTTCTTTCTTCTTTTTCTCTCCTTTCCCCCTCTTTAAAACCCCTCCCCCCCACTGACTCCTTAAAGTTACCCTCCTTTAACTTCATTGCCCGACCCTATCTCGCTTCTCCTCTCTCCCCGCTCTCTCCCATCCCCTCCTTCCTATGTGTCCCTCCCCCCTTTCCTCCTACTCCTCGCTCCTTGACTAAGTCTGCAAATTAGCAAACTGTATATGGCCCAAAGACACGGCAGCGTTATTGGTTAAAAATGCTCTTATTTTCTGTCCCAATATCAAATAAAATATATAATAACAATACATAAAATAAAATAAACAGTAAATATGATGTTTTGTGATCCAGATTGTTCACAAAAGGAATTTATGAAACAACAACGTGAGGGTACTCCAGCTTTTTAATCTGAGCACAAAGTGGGTATCTGTTTTCTGTTCATAAATCCTCTACATGTTGATTTTTTCCCAACTACTCGGCAAGAGACGCTTGCTGTGTCCCATCAGCGGGGTGGTCCTACTTTATGTATGGAAGAAAAGCAGAGATAAGATGTAGACAGAGGCCCATAGTACACAGCATGTGACAGAGAGAGATTTTATTGAAACCAAAACAGGTTTTTATATGGAATAGTTAGATGGATATTCTTCTATTACATATCTTGTTGGTTTTAAAGTTAAGTAAAGTTTGATGTTCCATGTTCTTTCTCTGCAGAAAACACACCCCCCACTGGCTGGGAAAGGTGGGGTGGGAATCGAACCCCATGGACCTTGTTGATAATGAAGCACTTTGTTTTCTGCTCACCAACCCATATTATTCAGGCATTGCTAAATATTTAATTATTTTTTTTTTTCATTCTGATTTACTTCTTGTCAATGCACCCATTCCTCAGAGATATATTAGGGCTAAAATGATTTTTAAAAAATTGCTGATTTTTGACACGTCTGCATTTTGGGTGGCACTCGTAAACCTTTTTTCTTCTCAGCTGGAAAAGCTCCAGAAGGCAGCATCAGCAGCTCACACCTACTTTGTTGCTAATCCCAGTCATTTGGAAATGAGGAACAACATAGAAAAATACAGACGGATGGATGGAGTGACTGCAGATGACTTTCAGGACAGAGAAGCTGGTCACGAAAAACACTGGGTGAGAAACAAACCGTTAACATGTATGAACAGTGTTAGAAGCTAAAATGATCAAAGGCAACTAATCATGTTTTTTCAATAATCAAACCACTATTACAACTATACTTTAGTAACTATTGTATACTCAAAATCCAACATAAGGAACGGTTGTAGAATGTGATTTAAGACACAAACAAAGTAAACAAATAATCAAGAATTGCGCAAGTAAATTACTATTTTTCATGGTAGAATGTTTTCCGTTGGCTTCACTCATAGACTGTAAATATTAACAAATGTAGTCACGCCTATCTCCGCTGAGTGTGTAAAAGACAAAGCTTCAAACGAACATGCTCACACTGTTTTTATATTCTCCTGTATTGTCTCTGATCACTGGTTATCCCTCAGGTCTTGTATGACTCGGCGCTGCAGCTGGAGGCCTCTGCGGACTGGGCGGCGACTGTGGAGAAGTGGGGAGAGTGTGTGAGAGCGAAACTCTGCCGTCAGACGGAGGAGTGCCGCATTCAGTGTGAAACAGCCTCACAGCTTCTGCCCCTCGACAGAGGAGAGGAGGGGGGCATCCACGGAGCGTTTGAGAAGGCCGCAGGTAAACGTTCGTGTAGAATAACCTGCAATCACGAGGTTTCGATGGACATTTCCTACACTCAAAAAAATTATTTTTGGTGTAGTATATATTACTAACTCAAAAGTAGTAGTTTCAGTATCAACTTTCAACAAAAACTAGTTAAAAACATAAATATTTACACAGTATATTCAGGTAATTAATTAATTGAGTGGAAAGAGTACTGTACATCTTACTAGAGATTTGCTCGTACCATTTACATGATTTATTGTCATAGCACCAAAACCTGAAAAAATCAAGGAACTTTTAACTATTGGGTGAAGTAGTGACGCTACCCAGAATGCAATGCAAGAGAAAAACATAAACTTCTGAAAAAATCTACATTTGAGCATTAATTTTGAGGGTGAATACAAAGCAAGTCTTAAAGCAAAATACGTGAGCAACATTTTGAACAAACAAATTTGAAAAAAATGAAAAAATTTAAATATATTTTTACCAACCATGATCGACATGGCCAAGTCAAAGTATGGCTTTACTTCCTGGGTTTATCACTACTACATCAAGGAGGATGGCTGCTGAGGGTGTGTGGACCGGAGAGATGTCTGGAAGTGACGTGGAGGGAAGTGTTCGAGAAGCTGGGGCGGGAAATGAAAGCGATACAGATGGTGTTAAAGTCTGGCAAAACCAAAAAAAGAAACGTAAAAGGAAAAAAGAAAACCAAGGAACTTCTCAATCGGAGGTAACAGACCACAGTGAAGAAGAGGTTGAAGAATTCAAAGTTGTGTGTTAACACTGGTTGAAGAGGGGGCGTCGTTCGGTAAGTGGAACCCGATCCATCTCACTCGGGAGGTCGACAGAGTGATTGGAACTGTCAAATATGCGAAAACGTTGAGGAACGGATCGTTGTTAATAATATGTATGAGCGCTGAGGACAGGAAGAAAAGCGCTAAAACTGACTCGTATTGTGGGCCAAGAAGTCAAGGCAAGAGTTTTAGAAGACAAGCAAGTTGTGAGTGGAGTTATTTCTGGTATCCCTCCGAGTGTCCCAGTGGAGGACATCAAATCGAGTTTGAAAGGAACTAACGCTAAGATTGTAGACATTAAACGTCTCAAAGCGTGGCGTAATGGCGAACGAAGTGATAGCTTCTCTGTTATGGTCAAATTCGAAGGAAAAGTACTTCCGGACAAAGTGTTCATTGACTTCATGTGCTATAATGTCAGGGCATATATCCCTCCACCACTTCGATGCTTTAAATGCCAAAAGTATGGCCATGTTGCTGCTGTGTGCAGAGGAAAACAACGATGTGGAAGATGTGCAGGGGAGCATGAATATGGAAAGTGTGAACAAGGAGCAAAGGTTAAGTGTTGTAACTGTGGGGGAGAGCACAGCTCTGCATACCGTGGATGTGAAGTTAGTAAAAGAGCTGCTGAAGTACAAAAAGTCAGAGTCTCCACTGGAGTCACCTATGCAGAAGCGGCTAAGAAGGTCCCTGCGTTGCCAAAGAAAGTAACGGCTGCAGTAGCCCCAATTACTAGTAGCCCCAAGTGTGATAACTGTAACAAAATAAATGAAGATACACTAATGATGGAAAAAGAGGATTTCCTACTCTTCATGCCCTTTGCTTGCTCTTCATGCAAGCAAAGGGCAGAACAGAGAAAATTGTAATTATCCTAAGTGCTGCAGAAAGACACCTTGGTATCAAAGATGTGAAACTGGAGTCGATTAACGAAAAATTAAACGTAAGGAAGAAAAACACACCAGGACAGCGATTGATACAACAATGTGGTACCTCATCCTCTTTATGTTGATTGTATTCCAATGGAATGCAAGAAGCTTAATTAGTAACGGTCAAGAATTTAAAAAGTATATTGTGGATCAGGAAGCTAAACCTCATTTGATCTGTATTCAGGAAACCTGGCTTAAGCCAGCTTTAGACTTTGTAATACCAGAATATGTGTCAATCCGTTGTGACAGGGAACAGAGGCAAGGTGGGGGTATTGCTACGTTTGTACAGAGTGGACTTAATTTCAAAGTTGAGGATATCAGTCAAGAGTTTATAATTACCAAAATATGGGCGAATGATGGTCAGTTTTCTGTGATTAATTTTTATAACCCTGGCAACAGGCTGAACTCGGAAATATTGAATAATGTGATTAGTAAAGCACAAGGGAAAATTATTTGGTGTGGTGATTTTAATGCCCACAGCACATTATACATACACTCTTAGCTTGGATACACTCTTCTCTTAGCTGTAGAAGAGTGTATCCAAGCTAACTCACTTGTGTGTATTAACGATGGAAGTGGTACAAGATACAATTGTTCAAATAATGTAGTGAGCACTCTGGATCTCACATTAGTTTCTAGTGTTATTGCAAGTAAGGTTTCCTGGGAGGTTGTAAAAGGCGCCCTAATGGGAAGTGACCATTTTCCAGTTATTACCAAAGTAGGAACAGAAGTCATTGAGGAAACTGACTCAAGAATTCCAAGATGGAAGCTGGACAAGGCTAACTGGGAGTTGTTCAGAATAAGAGTGAGCCGCTTGTGTCCAGAAGACTTTGGGAGAGAAATTACAGATGTTGACGTGTATAATGAGGAATTAACCTCTGTTATCCTGCAAGCAGCAGGGGACACGATCCCAAAGGTTAAAGGAAAGAAGCAGAATAAGGGTGTGCCTTGGTGGAATGATGATTGTAGTGAGGCCATTAAAAAAAGAAATAAAATGTTTAAAAGGTTACGTAAAGTTCTTACATTTGAGTCCCTCCTTAATTATAAAAGAGCTCAAGCTCAAGTTAGGAGGGTTATAAAAACCGCACGAAGAACCTTTTGGAGGAATTACAGCAGCAAGATTGGGCGAGAAGCAAAGCTGGCTGATATCTGGGGTGTCATTAGGAAAATGAGTGGAGTTAAAAGAGTTTATTCAATGCCAGTTTTGCAAAAAGAAGAGGCCACTGCAGTAAACAATAAGGACAAGGCAGAGTTACTTGCGAGTACTTTTGTTAGTGTACACAGCTCGAGTAATCTATCTGAAGACATAAAGGAATGTAGAGATAGAACTGCAAAAGAGAACCCAGGTGTCACTAACATGAAGAATTCCTTTTGTGATGATCTTGACCTGCCTTTCACTATGTCTGAACTTAAACGTGCAATGGCTTCTTCTAAACAGACATCCCCTGGTAAAGACGGAATCTGCTATTCCATGTTGGCGAGAATGGAGGAGGAGTCCTTGGAAGCTGTAGTGAGGTTGTTTAACTTAGTCTGGGAAACTGGGAAGATCCCTGATGCTTGGAAACAATCTGTTATAGCGCCAATTGTGAAACCTGGAAAGGAAGCATCAGACCCATCTAGATATAGACCCATTGCATTAACATCACAACTAGGGAAAACTATGGAAAGGATGATTACAACACGGCTGAATTATTATTTGGAAAAGAAGAAACTGTTCACCCCTTTCCAAAGTGGCTTTCGGAGGGGACGAAGCACCATGGATGCACTTGTCTGCCTAGAATCTGAAATAAGAAAAGCCCAAACAAATAAAGAAGTGGTTCTGGCTGTGTTTTTCGACATAGAAAAAGCATACGATATGCTTTGGAAAGAGGGGCTGCTAATTAAACTGTCCAAACTTGGCATTGGAGGAAGACTTTACAATTGGGTGCTAAGTTTCCTGTTTGGAAGGAAAATAGAAGTAAGAGTTGGATGTGCCTATTCTGATACTTATACAGTTGAAAATGGAACCCCACAGGGAAGTGTTTGTAGCCTTGTTCTATTTGATATAATGATAAATGATATTTTTGAGAATGTAGAAAGTTCTGTTGGGAGATCCCTCTACGCGGATGATGGGGCCCTTTGGATCAGGGGTCGTAATTTGAAATACCTACAAAGGAAAATGCAAAATGCTATAAATGAAGTAGAAATGTGGGCTAGCAGTTGGGCAATTAAAATGTCTGTTCCAAAGACACAAGTAATTTGTTTTTCAAAAAGACACAAAGAAGTTGAGCTAAATTTGTATGGACAAAAACTGGAACAAGTCGCTATGGTTAGGTTTTTGGGAATGTGGTTGGATGAGAAACTAACATGGAAAAAACATATTGAGTCAGTCAAAGATAAATGTAAATAAGTAAATAATATATTGCGATGCCTAGCAGGCCGAGATTGGGGAGCAGCAAGAGGGGCCCTAATAAGAATTTACCAAGCACTCATGAGGTCCTCCTTGGATTATGGCTGCTTTGTTTACATGTCTGCTGTAGAGACACACCTGAAGAAGCTAGACCAAGAACAAACACAAGCACTGCGTACATGTTGTGGAGCTTTCAGGACCTCGCCACTCTCTGCCCTTCAGGTTGAAGCGGGGGAAGCCCCTCTCCGTCTGAGGAGGATCCAGCTCATGCTCGCATACTGGTTGAACCTTCAAGGCCATGACACTCTTCATCCAACGAAAGAGACATTAAAAGATTGCTGGGAGCATCAAGAATCTGAGCTTTTTAGCTTTGGGTGGGTGTGCGAAGTCAAAGCACAGCACTTTGACCTAAATGGTTTTAAATATTGCCCCACAGTCCCATGTTCTCCGGTCCCTCCATGGGTTTTTGAACCTCCCAGGGTTGACCTATCTCTCCATCAAAGTATTAAGGATAAAGGAGCTATACCGGAATGGCGTATTGTGCACGAATATCTTGAATGTCACTATGATAGTCTGATTCTGTACACTGATGGATCTAAGGACCCAGATAGCGGACGAACCAGTGCAGCAGTGTGCATCCCAGAGTATGGAATCAATATTAGAAGACGAGTCTCAAATCATCTAGCAGTATACACGGTTGAGCTGATCGCCATCTTACTTTCACTTAACTGGATTTTGATGAACTCTTGTGTCAATATTTGTAAAACTGTTATTGCATCCGATAGCCAAGCAGTGCTATTGAGTCTCAAATCTGGAAAGTCGTGCAGGATGGATCTACTTTATAAGGCTTATAACCTCCTGGCACAGGTGTATAACAAGAATATTGATGTGTCACTGGTTTGGGTTCCCGCTCACATTGGAGTAGAGGGGAATGAGCAGGCGGATATACTCGCTAAACAAGCCTTAAGATCTGACACTATTAACATAAATGTATCACTAAGTCAAGCTGAGGGAAAAGCCCTGCTGAAATCTAAAATCATGAAGCTTTGGCAAGAGTGCTGGGACATCAGTGATACAGGAAGACATCTTTATGGAATCCAGAGTAAAGTTGGATCAAACTGCCTGTGGGCAGGTAACCGTAAAGAGGAATCCATTATCACACGTTTGAGGATCGGACACACAGGCCTAAACCACTCACTCTGGAGAATTGGAAAGCATGTGGATGGAACGTGCCAGCACTGTACACATGAACCAGAGACTGTAGAACATGTCCTCCTGCACTGTGATTATTATAGAGAGCAACGAGTCTGCATGTCAACAGCTGTTGCAAAAGAAACACGCCCATTTAATTTAAAGACATTGCTAGATCAACCGTCTGTAAACATCCGCAAACGTCTAATCCATTTCATTAAAACCACCGGACTGAAAGATCGTATTTGAACTGCTGATTCTAGCTTGATTCCAATGGTCCACACACCCCAGTACAGTAGGTGGCGGTAATACTCCTTTTTTTTGGTTGTCAACCGCCAAAAAACAGCAAAGAAGAAGAAGAAGATCACTACATCAAATGTGTATTGTATGTGTGCCACAGAGTCTGTACACTGTACCACTTGTCGCTGAGCTCTATTTGAATAATAAATATTATGACATCCTAATGATACAATTAAAGTGTAACAACCCAAAAAGCATGTAGATAATAATAATTTAAACAGAAAAATTAAGTAATATCTACTTATTCACTTCATAACAGAAAATGATATAAACAAGTAAGATTTACCTAATATTTTAATATCTGATATTCCTGTATGAAAATAATTACATAACATTTACATAATATCCTCACAAAGTTTAAGGTTAGTAGTAAGTACATTGTACTTGATACTGGCAAGTAAGTTATACTTGATATTACAGCATTAAAATGTACTTAGAAATTTTGAGTGCAAATACTTACAATGATTTTATTAAGTAAATTCTACAAGTCATTTCTTTGAGTGTATGTCATGGAGTTTTTTTTAAATAAATGCAAAAATGTTTAAGCTCTTAATATTTTGTTACCTAAAGTCTTGAAAAATGTGTCCTTTTCATTCCTTTGAATTTAAAATCATGGTAAGTGGTTGCATCTTTGTTTTGGGCAACAGAGAAGAATTTAAGCCTCGTGCCAGTTTTTGTTTCACGTAAATAAGTAAATAGGGATATGAGAGGACAGTAATTAGAGATTGATGGACAATATATTGCTTTAGAATTTGTTTGCTATAAACAATAATATAGAAACTGAAAGACAGAACTTTATAACACTGATGCAATTACAATATAGCTGGCGAATGAAGCAACGTTTGAATTGTAAATTTACATTTATTTAATGAAAATAAACAGTAGGACAAAGTAATATTTTGGCTGATTGAACCCTCTGCAGCTAAAACAACTTTTATTTGCAGAACAATAGAAAAATGGTGTCACTATTGCAATGAAAATATATCGACAATAAATATTGAGGCCCAAAATATTTACTTTAATGTGAGTTATTGAAGGAGGAAATATTGTCGCCTAACTGTACTTACTACTTTCTGTACCACTAATCGCCAGTTCTAGTATTTTTATTTCTCACATTTTCATTGCTCTGATTTTGGATGTTATACTGTTCTTGTTTGCCGAATCGATTTACCTGAACTGCCATTCCATTTATTTATTGTATTCTTTGTATTGTTTTTCTTTTTCAGCTCTGTCTCTTTCACTTCTGTCATGCCAGCAGTCATGTGTCACTCAAGTCTCCACTCGACCCGGACGAGTATCATCCCAAGAAGACTTCCTGCCCACTCAGCTCGAGCATCTGCACATCGCACAGTACAAAGGTTCTCATCATAATGTGCATTTCTATTTCAATACTCAGCAAATCATTTATGACTGAAGAGATTCTTTGACCATCCCACTTCATACACTCACCTCTGATTCAGACCTCCCACTAGGGGGAGCCAAGGGCAATTTTTTTTCTTTTTAAAACAGGAAACAATATAATACCATATTCTTTAAGAAGAGGGGGCATACAAACAGATGAACACAATGCCACAATACAAGCTCAAACACATAGTAAAGTCAATATTACCAACAAGCTACAGAGAGTTCATCAGCCTTATAGCTGTTGGGGCAAAAGATTTTAAGTGATGGTGGGTTTTATAATATGGTAACACAGACACTTCGATAAGATATCACTGAGTTAAACTATCTGGCAGTATACTCTTATTCTGGGCACAGAAAAAAAGGGGATGTATACATTTTTGGCTTTTATTCTGGCAGATAATGGCCTGCACTAGCCGATAATCTAGCCAATAATCAATCAATATCAATATTCTGATAATAAAATAAACAATAGATTTTTTATATGTTGAAAAGGCTCTTTAGGCGTTGATAAAGAGGGATTTTAGCAGTTAATAGGTTACTATAATATGCTCATTAAGATCATTATTATGGGCTGTATCTTAAAATGGATATTGGAGTCTGGGTATCTCTGCTTACACTGCTGCATCCTTACCTGGCAATGGATAAAGCAGCAGAAGAAAATGCATGTACGGATATGATAAAATGGATAGCTGTTTTTAAATGTATATTTTTAGACAGGGAGCTCAATTGTCCAGAATTTTACCCATCACTACACAAATTATACATATATATTTCTGGTTTGTGTTTCTTCACAGCTGGAGACGTGTCTGGGGCCATAACAACTCTTCGTTCTCTGCTGCTCTTTTATCCCACTGACAAAGACAACTTGGAGAATCTGCAGCTTTATTCTGAGACACTAGGGGGAGACCAAGAGTCACTGGGCACACTGCCTGCACAGGTTACTGATCAAATCTCATGTGTAACTTGTTTATCTGTTTACAACTTTATTTTTTGACTATTGCAGACTGTCTATGGTTTTTTGACATGTTGAAAAATCAGCCCACAATGTTGGCTAACAAAAAACTAATCCTACTTTTGTAATTCCTTTTATTAGATCAAAAAGTATGTTCATCGATCGCTGCAGGAGAAAAAACTTTTGTATTTTGGGATGGAAAACCTGGACTTCACATTTACAGATCCAGTAAATACATTGCATTTAACCTAATACAATTACAAACTATTATTAATTCATTTAAACTTTTGCAGGATTTGTGGACTCCCGAAGACGTTGTTCCTGAATCTTTAAGGGAAACCTGGAAGTGAGTCATTAAAAAGTATAGAAGCATGTTCAGAAAAGTGTGAATAATTGAAAGAGCTTAACTGTTTAAAAGGACATATAATAAAGTATAAGAACAAAAAATGGGTGATTGAAGTGGAAATGCTTTGTCAGCTCGGCAAATAAATAAAAAAAATTCTTCCTATTTTTAGCACCGAGAAAGAACAGATGAATGAGAGAATGAATCAAGGGGAGCAGCAAGAGAGCGTGGACGACAGTGGCTTCTATGCAGGTGAAAAACCATTATTTTGCATTATTTTTTACTCTGGCTTTCTAATGCATGGCAGATTTGTTTGTTCTATTTGATCCTTTGTTCTTCCTGGGTCCAAGATTTACATTTCCAATAAAAACCTTTCAATGAGTCTCTGTGGTGCCATTCTGCATCACATCTGAAAACCTTAGCAGCATAATAGCGATCAGAATGATTGCATAAGTGCTAACATTCAAAACTAAATATTTTATCTTCTGAATGGTGAATAATTCTCAAATCTACAGTCTGCATCTTGAAATACATTCTGCTATGTTCAACAACCAGGTTTTAGAAAATCCCAACACTAATTTAGAGTTATTGAATAGAGCAGAAAACAGCACTGTCCATGATGTCATATTGTAAGTTTTGCTAGTGGGACCTCAGTTTTTATACATAATGACAATGTTATTTTTGTGATTGTAGGCGGCTCAGTTCCCCAGGTGGGTGTGACTATTGCAATGGACCACATCATGTTGAATGGAACAAACCGAGTTGTTCTCGATGGAGTCATGACCCAGAAAGAGTGTGACACCATCCTGCACTTGGCATCAGTACGTACAAACAGAAGAGGTGTTTGCTTAAATAACACATGCTGGAAATTTGTTAGTTGTTTTGAGTTTAGTATTTAAATGTATTGACTAGTTTCAAGTTGGAATGTCAAGAATTTGTTTTAAAAAATGGCATCAGTTTGAACATTTGGTACCAAAATATATATTTAGGCCCACCACCACAAACAGGTGTTAAGGGTCTCTTAAGTCTTGTATAACTCGTAACCATTAAACTGAAACTTAATTCAAATATAAAGTTGTGCATGCTAATTTGCGGTTCTAAAAGTGCCACGACTTTAGTGTTCTTAATGCACTAAAACAATGGACAGGTATGCCATCTGCTGTCCGTTTGCAGAACTGCACACCGTTAGAACAAATTAGGCTGGTGCAGTGGTTAGCACTTGTGCTTCACAGAAAGAACGTCGAGGGTTTGATTCCACCTCCAGACAGGGCCTTTCTGTGTGGAGTTTGCATATTCCCCCATTGTCTGCGTAGGTTTCAGGTGCTCCAATTTCCCCTACCACTAAAAACTTGTTCTAAAGATCTGTCATGCGCCTCCTGTATGGCAACCCCTCTTCATCTCTGTGTGGAGGGAGACACAAATGCCCACAACAATAGCAAATCACTTTGTGACTCTGTGAAAGGCGCTATATAAAAAAAGATGACTAACTGTACTTACTTACGTAAATGTAAGTTTAAATCTGCTCTTTATTTATCCCTGTGGGGAACTTTGTCCTCTGCATTTGACCCATCCTGCAATGCCACTAGGCCCCTGTCAGGAGCAGTGGTCGCCGTAGTACAGCCCCCGGGAACCCATCTCCAGAGGTTGATGTTCAGCTTGGTTAGGACTACCGGAGCTGGATAATTTACCTAGCATGTTTTTAGTGGTAGAGGAAACCGGAGCACCCAGAGGAAACCTACACAGCCATGCAGAGAACATTCAAACTCCTCTCAGAAAGGCCCTGTAAATGAGGGCCCACTACTTACAGTGACTACAAGATTGTGTCTGATTTGTAGGCGGCGGGTTCTGTTGGAGATGGATACAAAGGACGGCGCTCTCCACACACTCCACATGAGACGTTTGAGGGTCTGACGGTGCTCAGGGCAGCAAAGGTATAGTCAACGACTTTGAAATCTTTTTTTATCAAGTACTTAGTTCGATTCTTTAACTAAAGAGTTTCCAGTATCTATCTGAGAACATTTTCATCTTCCTGTGAGACATATGTCTCACCTGTGATCTCAGTATTAATCCTTGCATGTATTGCTTTTGTATTGGTTCTTGAGCTGTGTGTTCTCTCACAGCTGGGTCAGGAGGGATTTGTGAACACTTCTGATGTGAAACTTCTCCATGAGCTCGGGGACAGAGTGAACACGCTGCTGCACTCGTACTTCAGAAGCCCTACAGGACTCTACGTCTCCTTCACTCACCTGGTCTGTCGCAGTGCCAGAGGTAAGAGATATACTGTCTATTATACTGTAATGGAACAGGCCTCAAAGATACAAAGAGAGGGACAGCTTCATTATTCCACCAGAACAACATGACAAACATCACATTCATCACATTACTTCTCTTAGAGAAGTAACTACAGGTCTGTGAGAGCCAGACATCTTGCTTGTTTGCAGGTGACCAAATACTTATTTTCCCCCATAATTTGCAAATAAATTCTTAAAAATTATTTTTTTCTCATTCTGTCTCTCATAGTTGAGGTATACCTATGATGAAAATTACAGGCCTCCATAATCTTTTTAAATGGGAGAACTTTTGGTGGCTGACTAAGAACTTTTTTGCTCCACTGTAGCATAGCTGTATATATAATTGCAATGCATTCAATTTTACAGTATTGAGCAATGCCTTCATCCATTTTTGTTGCCACTGGGATAAGATTTGAATATGTTTTTCCCAAATGGTTGCACAGGAGACCAGAAGGGCAGAATTGACCTGTCTCACCCAGTTCATGTGGACAACTGCATCCTGGAACCAGAAACCAAACAGTGCTGGAGAGAACCACCTGCTTTTACACACAGAGACCTCAGGTAACTCACGCTACAGTATGTGTCTATATCACAGGGACAAATACGAAGAATAACATATAACTAAGATTGTCAAAAATGCATCGGCCCACACTGTTTAAGACAGGGTGCCTGCCAAAAAATGTATTATTTTTAATCAAACATCAAGTTTTTGCATTACAACAACACCAGCAAATACATTTACAGTTGATTTTTTTTCCCTTACAGTGCAATTTTATACCTGAATGACAACTTTGACGGAGGGGAGCTGTTCTTCACTGACAGAGATGCCAAGACGGTCACGGTAGGCTGAACGTCTTCAAAGACATACATTATGCTTTCAATCTTCATTTAGAGATCGTTTATTCGTCCCACAGTGGGGTAATTTCAGTACATAGCAGAGTTACCACCAACACCACTTTTTGTAAAGTAATATTTGTTGTTGGTGTTTTATGTATTGTGCCTCATGTAGGCCCGAGTGAAGCCATCTTGCGGACGTCTGGTGGGATTTTCCTCTGGTCCAGTGAATCCACACGGCGTTACTGCAGTGACCGGAGGGAAACGATGTGCCTTGGCCCTGTGGTTCACCAAAGAAAAAATATACAGAGATATGGTGAGGCTTTTTTAGGAACAAACACTAATCGTCTGCCGTGGATATCGGTGGTAAAAACGGCATTGTCTGAGTCATGGTCTCTATAATGCAAACGTATAATCCAATTAAACAAATGACAATGAAAGTCTTAGTTTTCGTGACACAAATCCTTCATTATTCAAAGTACAAAACCGATGCAAATCATATGGCGGTGTGTGGTGTGTGCTTCAGTCTATACAATAAACTAATGGAATAACGTATGATTCAGCACAATTTTCCCACAGCTTTTTTAGAACTAAAGGCAGTCTCATTATTATTATCTGGGAAAATATTGCTTTGACTGGAACGTTCCAAATAATGGCATTACATAATGAAGCAAAAGCAATACACACATTTCATGTATAAGATAAGATAAACCATTATTCGTCTCGCAGTGGAGACATTTCTGTGTCATCCTTGCCAACATTACAGCAGAGAAAGAAGGAAATAAAAGCCCTCAGATTGCACACATCAAATAAGTCTATTATTTAAGATAATAGTCTATATAATTGAAATAAGATAACGAATAAATTTACAGATGTGTATATTGTACTTTAGCAGCGGAGAATATGAGAATATGAATATGAGCAGAATAAGCATCAGAAATAATAATAATATCAACAGGTTAAGTGACTGGTGAATGGCAGAAATATCAGATGGATGTGTAATAATGCAGTATACTAATAACAGGTAAAGTGACTCGTGACAAAGTTACTTGTGAATTATCAGTGGTAGCAAGTAGGTAACTTTTTAGCCATAAGATAAAGACATGTTTTTTTTAATGGTTTTTATTATTTTTATTGAAAAAGTATACAAACAATGAGCAGGCTTACATCTCCGCTAACCTGACTCATACTTGTCCTGGAGAAGGCCCTCTCTCCTCTTTGTTTACTTGTTGTTGTGGCTATAATCTTTAATAGTCATGTACTAACCCCTGGCCCAAAGGGAAAATAACAAAAGCACAACTATTGTAACTTCTTTCATTACTGCCATTAAAAACCAAATTGCTGTGCAGGAGCGTGAGGAGACGGAGGCTTTGTGGAGTGGAACGAGCACAGAGCAGGAGCCAGAAGGTGGCGCTGCACCGGGGAGAAGCGGACGCAGTCATCAGCCCACTGAGCGCAGTCGTGAGGGCGTGAGGTCCCAGGGGTCCAAGGGCCGGAGGGACGAACTGTGAGACCAAACAGAACTACAACAGAACTACAGCTATGGGCTGTCACTTACGGGTTCAAGGCTTATTCCTTATTTTTGTCTTTATGCCAAATTTTATTCTTCATTTGTTCAAATGAAACATTTTAAATAGTCAGTTTTGTATGAAAATAATGAAAACATATGACTTGAATTAATAAAGTAAGCTAACATTATGCTATGGTAAGCTAACATTAGCTAAGATAAGGACTCTACTTTTGTTTACAAGCTTTAATATGGACCCAGAGGTGTTTGTGTTTTACGTCATCACTCAACAGCCTCATATGCAACTTGAATGAATTCACAGCCTTTTATTCAGCATAAATTAGTATTTATAATTAGATAAAATATAATTCTTAACCCGAAATGTTGTACAATTTGAAGGTAAATTATCAACTGTAGTTTTTGGGGTCTGACACTAATGCAGAAACTGGGCCTTAAAAACATCAAGTGACTCACAAACAAACAAAAATGTTTTTGCAATAAATGCTCCAATGATAAATGTGTGCCTTTAACTTATTTACCCATAAAAATCTAAGGAGAATGAAGTGTAAAGAGACGACCCAGCTGTGATTAATTGGACAATGGGACAAAATCTAGCAACATAACATTAAATACCGTGATGTATTTCATATTATTATTATTTCAGTATTGTAAACATCAGGAACACAATGATAAAAACAATTAAAAAAAATTTTTTTGTGGCAAATTCATGTAAAAAAGATGTATGTATATTTTCTTAATGTGTGTATTTTGGACTGCTCTTTTGGGAATAGATGACAATGACTGACTACTGATTTGATGAATAAAGCAGGGATTCAACATGAATGTATTCAATGAAATAAGTGATGATTGATTTGTTGGCTGGCTTTCACATGCAGTTATGGCCACATCTGTTAAAAGTGAGGAATAGGTTCCGTCAATAAATCTGTTTTTGGACTGTAATATGGTGGGGCTTTTTATCCTAGTAACTATTCATTTTATTAAAAAATCTGGCCAAAAGTGGTACTGCAGTCACAGTCAATATTTTGTAGTCCTCTCCCACTCTCTCTGACTCAGGTTGCCAGATACACACCAAATCCAGTGGCAAACACAAGGAATTATTTTATCAGTTGTTTGTCTCTCACATTGCCATGAGCCGTGCTAATGTTGAATGAACGTTTTTATGAATGTTTTTTTATTATTATTATTTGGACGTTTGAAGTGAGAAAAACTAAATAAAAGAAATGTAATATATACATTGATTATGCAAAATAAATAAGCAATTGATGTCCAAAATAGAAGTGGGAAGAATGGATGTTGGAACATATTTCTTCAGCGTATCAACATCAGGGTTTTCTCCAGAGGATATACCCACATCAAAAGTCCCACATCAAAAAGAGACTAACATTATTTTTATTGGGTACATGTGGTCTCAAATTATTCAATTAAGCTTTAATCTGCAAATAACGGCTTGTTTTTACCAGTGGGGGCGGGTTCCGGCTCAAAAGTGGCCAAAATGACGTGTGCTGACATGCTTGCAATACCACCCCGGGCCGATGGGTGTGGACCATAGACTGTATATATTAACAGTGGACCCGTAATAAAAATTTGCTAATGCTAACATATAGCATATCTTCTTTACGGGTCATAAAACTAATTTAGATATTCAAATATCTCGGCTGAACTACTGTTATCAATTAAAGAGCATGATTTAATTATGACTTTTGAAATACTGGGGCCGTTTAATGATGACTTGACATGCAAATGCACATACTGCTACTTTAACTTAATCATTTTCTCAGGATCCCCAAATTGTCCTCCCACGATTGTTCCCTGGTTAATACTGAAGTCCAAAAACTATATCCTTGTTTTTAAGTAGTAATTAGTAGTAGTAATCTTTATTTATATACCACCTTTCACACACCAGAGTCACAAAGCAGTTTACAATTGTTGTGGGCTTTGTCTCCCACTCATGGATCTATTATAATAACTCCCACTCCACACAGAGATGGGAGCAGCGTGGCCAGTACAGGAGGTGCATGTCAGACCAATTTTATGTGGTAGGGGAAACCTATGCAGACATAGGGAGAACATGCAAATTCCACTCAGAAAGGCCCTGTTTCATCTGGGATTTGTACCCAGGACCTTCTTGCTTAGATGCCAAAGTGCTATCCACTCAACCACCGTGCCGTCGGCATTCACAATGCTTGTACAAGTACAAAATCAATGTAACATCTTGGAACAGCATTTTGATGAAAAAAGGCCCTTAGAAAGTTCAAAAACCTCTTACTAGATGTTTATATTATTTATGATAATACATCTTTTTTTTTCTTTACTGTTGAAACAATGGGTTGTACAGTACCAGACAGAACAGCAGTTAAATGAATGGTTTCAGCTTCATGATTCATTCTGAAGACCTTGTTTAATTCTCTATCTCAATAACCATAGTCCCCAACTCCTCATCTGTGTATGTGTGTGTGTGTGTGTGTGTGTGGTTTATTCTGTTATAATATTTGTGTTTTTTTTCAGGATGTCTTTAAAAAGCTGTTGTACCTGAAGCCGCCTGCATGTACCCTGTGCGTGCTTTGTGGCGTGTGCTTTGAAACAGCACTGAGCCGCAGCAGCAGAGAGGTGCACATGGCGAGAAATAGAGGGATTATGGTTAATCTGGCATAAATGAGTGCATTTGTTTATGAAGCTTAAAAAACTCCATTTAGAATATGGAATAATCCAGCGTCATTTAATCATCGAGGTTCAGCAAAGAGACACTCGAACTGTTCACTTGAGCTGATCCTTCCCATTACCACCACTGCAACCACTTCATCTGCTGCACTGAAAAAACTGGGCAAAAAGACTTCAATCTATGCAATCTTTTCAACAGATTTTCTTTTTTTCATCTCCAGTTCAAACTCTCATCTGACTTTAGTCTCTTTCTGACACTTCTGGAGTATAAACAAATGTCTGCCCTCTTGTGAAGCTGAGGTCCTGTAGTTTTGGCCTCTGATGACACGTTTAACAAGCTCAGCACAGGAAATAAAATGTAATTCAAATCCCACCTTCATTTTCCACGATAAATAAAGAGGAATAAAGCCGCCGTCTTAATTTTTGATGATTGAACAAATTTAATATTATCCAACTTTTCCAGATGAATCTCAGAATGTGTGATTTGACTGAAAGTAAGGATTAGTTTCACATGGACGACACGGTGGCTCAGTGGATAGCAGTCTCGCTTCTCAGCAACAAGGTCCTGGGTTCAAATCTCAGTTGAAAGAGGGCCTTTCTGAGTGGAGTTTGCATGTTCTCAATGTGTCTGCAAAGGTTTCCCCTACCACTAAAAACATGTACAATAGGTAATGAGCAGAGGAAATGAATGGCTTTAATGTGCTTTAATTAGTGTGATCGCCATCTCGCTTTCATCACATTGTAAAACTCTTTGGGTGACCTTGGTCTGTTAAAATGCGCTATATAAAAAAACGTTGCCTTTTATTAGGTACTAGATTAAACAGAAAACTCAGGATGGAACAACAGCTTTAACCAGATGTATAGACGTACCAGGAACAGTATGTTTCTTATAAGATCACTGATTGATAAAACTGAAATGAATAATCTCTTGACAAGTTCTGCAGTAATCCAATCGCGAAAGGCTAAGACTATTCTCTGTGCTTCTTTGCCATTTTGTGAAAGATTATCGCCAAATTTCTCTTTGGTGACGATCTGAATCAGGCTCATGAAGATGCAAACCCGCTCACTGTAAGTAATGGATGTTTCTTCGTGATCAAAATGGAAGAATATGCTTTTATATTTGTATGTGTCCGGGCTATTACTGGGACTTTTTTTTGCAGTGCTAGTCTTGATTCCCTCCTCCCCCTTCATGCTCCATATTAACTCTCTCCCCGCCGTTATAATCTGTCCCATACAGAAGTGGGTCGCAGCTTTAATGGACACTCGGTTTTAACCTTTTTTCTCCTGTGTGGAGTCTGTAAAGTCTGCATTAACCTTCTGTGCTGTTTCCATAATGCATCCTAGATATAGTGCCCATTAGACTAATCTGCCCCACCCCTCGCCTGCTCCAATTACACAGAAACCCGACGTCATGTGTCCATTTTTGATTAGCAGAAGTTATGTAAAGCGTCATTTCATTCTAGTAAGTTACACAACTGTCAAAGGCCACAGCTTCCTGCTCAAATCACACCGACGATAGTGACTGTAGTTCTATTAAAAGGTCTCACAGATTTTCCTTTACCTGGATTGTTCCATTTTAATTATTTCTGGGATGAATCAATGTCAGCACAGATTCTTGTGAAACACTTTTCATGTGCCAAGAGGAGAGCCATAAAGGAACACAACATCTCTATGTAAAGTTGTATTTATAAATTATTGGTCAGCTCGAGCCACTTTCTCTTTACACACAGGACAGATTTAAAAGTATAAATGTGTTTCTTAAATGTTTTTTGATATAAGAAATTGTCATACTGTATAATGCACTGCATATCACTGGTTGTGCAGAACGACTGAGGGGCAATGACAACCCTCCCGGGACCATAGTTTGGACATACTTTTTTTAAAATATTAAAGGCAATTTTATTTCTCATTTTAATTCTATCTATTTACATCTCATCAATCAATCAATCAACGTTTATTTGTAGAGCACCTTTCCTACACAAGGCAACGCAAAGTGCCTCACAACCCATATCACATCATGCATAAATCATCAAACATTAGAATATTTTAAAAAAAAAACATATATTTAGAGCACAAGATATATTAAAAACATAAAAAATAAAATCACACAAGTAGTTAAAAACCTTAAAAGATTAAAATCATAAATAGTCATAGTGCATTAAAAAGATTAAAGATAAATACTACAAAGATAAAATCATTCAGTTGCAAACAGTAATTAAAAACTAGTTTGTCTTATAGTTTTGTGTTTTGTTGGTAATGGCCCCATTTTGCTTCATCATTTAACAAAGATTCCACTTAATATGCAAAGATAACTCTCTGAACTTA